TTGCTCTAAATTCTGCATAGTTACTCACTGTCTCCTAACTTCATCTGCTGTTCTTAGTTACTCTTTTTCCAAAGCCTTTTCCTCATCTCTAACTTTTGCATCAGCACTTACTTTGCCATCTGTTTCCTGCCTTAAGATCTGGGCCACCATCCACTAGTCCAGATGTGGAGAGAGATGACAGCTTGCTTCCACACGCCGATCGCACATATTTGGATCTTTGTGTACCTCAGATTTTTTATAGAAAAACGTTCATCGGAGCAGCGCAGTAGAAGAATCACTCCATTAAGAACCTTCCAATGAATGGTTCTTTAAAGAATCATTTTTGTGAATGATGTGAACAAACATACTTAAGTTTAAAGAACCTTCGCATGATGTAGAAGTTCAAACAACAAACAACAAAAAGACTTTTGAGTTGACATCCCTAAAGAAGCATGTTTGAACAAGAGATATATGAGTGTGAAGAACCTTTTAAACACATTATGTAAAGTTCTACACCAATTTAAGGGTTCTTCCTAGAACAGTTACATTAAGTGGAGGTTCCTTAAACTTCAAAAAGGTTCTTTACACTCATATCTCATTCAAAAAAGAATCATACACTGAAAGGTTCTTCAGGGAACCAAAGGAAGACGTGGTTCTTCTATGCTTTTGTGCAAAGAACAGTTTTTGACACCTTTATTTTAAAAGGGATAAAACTGTACATCTCAGCCAAGAACCTTTAAGGAACCTTTATTTCTAAGAGTGTACAGTTTTTACTGTGCGCTGAGCAAGGCTCTGGACTGTGAACCATGAAAAGTAACAAATATTGAGCCTGCTTTTTTATGGCACTGCCGACAGAACAAAACCTCGTATCCCAAAAATGACAACTTTACAGGATACTTTCATTTACATACTTTACTTTTAATGTAAGTCAATGGAAACAAACTTTTTTCTTGGGTCATTTCTTTTGGTCCATTCATCAGGAATTTTACACACAATGTAAAGAGCAACAGACATTTTCAAATGATGTCAAAAGCTGAAAAATGACACAAATGGAGGTACAAGGTTTTGTTCCAGCAGTGATGTGTTTACATAATACAGTGTATATATTGTTCACTTTCACATTGCATTTACGTACACAGCTCCTGCACAACCTCATAAACTAAAGCGAGAAGAATGCACACATCATAAACATGCTGACATGCATGCTACTGTACTTCTTCGAGGAATCATGCATCACTACTTGAGCCAAAAATGTGGTTCAGCAAAAGAACTGCAGCAAGCACCAAACTGAACACTGTCTCCACAGTTTCACAATGACTGCAGCAGCACCAAGGAAAACTCTGAAAACCAGGGCCAGATGAGAAAGCAGAATAAAGCTTAAAGGCACTTATCGTCTGGTAGCTACAGTAGGTGAGGATGGAGGCAGTGAAATCCCAGGGTTCCACAGCACAGAGTGCAGGTTGAGAAAGCCTGAGGCAACTCAGTGTGGGACTCTCTGTGTTTTATACTCAGTGTGAGCCCTCCTCTCTTTCTGCTGAGGGACCACCGGGCTCTTTTGGAGTGAACACACACCCACAGCCACATGTGTGTTTATGTATGGTCTTGCTTTACTATCATCGTGGGTGATATATGGACAGCAAAGTGCAAAAATACAGACGTTGTGGGTAGAGGAGTAGAGAGTAGAAAAGACTGACAAGGGTTTGCAAATAAATAAACAGTACATAAATAAACAAATGAAGAAAGAAGGAAAGAAACAAACATCCTCAACATTTACAGCCACATGCAAAAGTTTGGACACTCCTGGTCAAATTACATTTTTATTGATGAAAGTAAGTACACATCCCCTACAGAGACACTTGTACAATTACTGTTTATTTGCTGAATTTAACATGTAGCACATTTTATATTTAGGTTTGATTTTTTGAGTATGATAAACTGTGCACTAAAATTTGCAGAAAAATGCCAAATTTAGGTTTGTTTCTTGTAGAGGATATGTTGACTTATTTTCGCTTAAAGAAGAAAAAAAAACAATCAACAAAACTCAATTCGATAAGGGGTGCCAAAACGGTTGCACACAACAGTATCTTTTTAGTTTATCTTTTTTGTCTGGAGTTTATATTTTTTAATTTGACATTTTTTTCCATAAGCATTTCATAATTTATTTTTTTATTAGAAAAACCTGCACATGACGGTACTGATTTGGTGGGAATATAGCAGATATTCTAAATAAACAAAGAAAAAAGCCCTCTCAGCAATTTTACCATTTTTTTATGTTTTGATTTTATGTATCATCACAATTCCTTGTTTTAGTCATTGTTATCATCATTAGTACTGATTAAAAAAGAATACTTTTTTACTGCTCTCTTTGTTTAATATTTTTATTACTGTATATTCTGTTGTTCTCAGTTGCTTGATTTTGTTTGTTCTTTCACTCTAATACACAATCAGCTGCATTTTCACACAAAAGTCCTATCATTATTATTATTATTATTATTATTATTATTATAATAATCACTTTGCATTGAAGTTAGTTTGGGTTAGATTTAAGATTTAGGTCAGGCAAAGTATCAGAACGACTGAGCTGCAGTTTCAAGTGTATAGCTGTGTGTAGAAGTTTGGGCTCCCTGGTCAAATAATGTAATAATAATTAAACTCATCAAATAAATCAAAATTCTGCACTAAAATTTGCAGAACACCACGATATTTGAGTGTCTTTTCTGGATAGAATGTGTTCATTTATTTTCACTTTGATCAGGAAACTTTTACCTACGGCTGTAAGCTTCCAGAAAGGGATAGAAAACAGATGTGTGTGTGTGTGTGTGTGTGTGTGTGTGAGCGAGAAAGAGAGGAGATAGAGATGGAAATGGTGAGATGACAGTGACTGAGGCAGAGGCTGAAGCTGAAGCTGAGGTGAGGTGAGTCAGCATTTCCTGTCTCAGGAAGATAAACAATTTGTCAGGCTCTTCAGCTCTTCACAGCAGCGGCCGCCTCCAGCAGCTCCAGCCTGATGGGCAGCGCATACAAAAGCACAAACACAGATGCGTGCACACACACACACACACACACACACACACACACACACACACGCCAAATGTGCGTAAATTAGCCATTCATTTCCTAATAATGGGTTTCCTCATTTGCTTTTCAGGAAAACTTCTAATCCATGTCAACCCGTAACAGGTGCAACTTCCTGAAATGCAATGAGAAGCAAAGCCCTTATAATATCTCTAATGCATTCTGGGGAAAAAACAGGGCAGGAGGAAAGACTCAAATGGACATCATTTTGGACAATTTAAATTATCAGTGAAATCACTGGAAATTAATCAATTAGTTTATCTATAAATCTACAAATAAAATGAATAATAAATGAAATATAAACAAAGTTGTTTAAAACCACTTGACTGGGCCATATACACACACACACACACACACATCTATATATCTATATAGATACTAGTAGTTACTGAATACTTTACAGTAGTTATTAAACAATAATTCTTAAGATTATTAACTACATAAGACGAGCAGTCAAATGGACATGACATCTCTACAGGCAAGTTTAAGTCAAGAAATATAGCCAATGCCTTAAACAGACAGACAGACTGTCTTCAGCATACCTTACTGTCATTCTCTGCTCAGCACAGAGGAAATGGAGGCTCATGGCCACAGAATTGTTTGTGTGTGTGAGTGAGAGAGAGTGAGAGAGAGAGAGAGAGATTCTCAGCCCATCTGGAAGCAATCACACACAAGCACACTTAAGCTACAAAAGTACACAGGGTTCCCCCTCTCTCCAAACACACTCAGCCACTGCCATGCAAAACCCATCAGTAAATCAATCTCCCGCGAGCAGCACTGATTACTGCAGAGCAGAATGAGCCCACTGACACGCTGACAGCGCCATCTAGTGCACATGGAGGAGAACTAACAGAGACTCTTCATCAAGAAGATAAAGCCACTTGATTATAAATAATAAGTTGCTGAACTATAAAATAATCATTATATAAAAATATGTGTGTGCGTATTGCATATGTTACACTCTGTAAATTCACAGAAATTATGCACTAAAACCTGCAGGGAAACACCACACTTTGTTTCCTGTGAACATATTTTTACTTAGAAAATCAAAAGCATGTTATTTGACCAGAGGTATTCTGAAGTTTGCATACAACTATATATGTATGTATGTATATAGACATATATTCTAAGATATATTCTAAGAGTTGTGCCAGAGTCTCAGAAACCTAAGCAAAATGTTTAAAACCATTTATCTGGGCCATAACTGTGCTTCTGCTTAGAAAATATATAAGTATTATTTAAGTTTACGTTAATGTTTCTAATATTACTGTTTTGCAAACACTACATAGATAAATAGCTGTTTAAATAATTTTCTTGGGTGCCTAAAACTTTTGCACAAAATAAATAATATATATATATATATATATATATATATATACACACACACACACACACACACACACATACACACACACACACACACACATTTGACTTTTTTTTTACCATAATCAAAACATCAAATGAGGGAATATCGGCTGGAGGAATGGTGTTCTACCCCTCCAGTGAGGTCAAGAGACTTCACATTAATCCTTTATTCTGTCAACTGTCTGCATATATACACTCACTGGCCTCTTTAAGTGCGTCTACTTTGTATCTTCATTGGCCATTTTATTAGGTCCATGTACCATATGGCTGCATTTTGTAGTTCTTCACCTACAGACAGTAGTTTCTGAGCGATTGTTGAGAAACTACTGAGCAGGTATTATTTGGGTGGTGGATCATTTGCAGCACTGCAGTGACACAAAAATGGTGCTGGTACGGTTGTGTATTTGAATACATATATGACTATATTAGTTACATCAATTTGACATTCACACCAACTTCAAAAATATGACATAATATTTGCAAAACTGACAGACTATGCAAGAAATATTACATAATCCTTATGAAGTTCTGAAACTATTTGAATTGATGAGCGATTCAGCGACTATAAAATATGGAATGTGCAATATAAACTTTACTGTAGCATGCAGATTTCCTTTATACTGTAATATACTGTAAATGTATGGGATCTTAAGAGAATCAGTCTAATTTGGCTTACATAAAGGGCTTCAACTAATTCTGCACACAGCCAGCTTCTTTAGTGCATAATGAATGTGTGTTGAGTCATCACCCATACGAAAACATTCCAATGTGGAATTTAAATTATTTTCTTTGTGAGGATGTGCTGTAGAATAAGAATTCCTTCAATAATATTTAATTTAGCTCCATTTAATGTTTTATTTTGCATAAAAAAATATTAATGTACAACCTATTCCAAGTTTCACATATGGAGCTCTTTGTGGTACAGAAGCATTAACGGCATAATAGCGGGGCAGCTTGAAAAAAAGTGTATTATATTTCTCTGTCTGTGCACACTTTCATTCCTTCCTGCAATTTTTGCCTTCAATAGAATGTATGAAGGTCAACACAATGCAAAGTGTTTGGCAGCTCCTTTTTCGCCCAGAGACAAGATGATTGCATTTAACTAGCAGCCCACATGCTGCAATCTGAAACAAACAATGTGCACTCAGGGTCAACTCTCTCTCTTCCACACACACACACACACACACACACATGCACACAGATATACACAACCCACTCACAGAGAAACACACTCTTGTTGTAGTCTGATAGGGGGGCTGGTTTGATGTAGTGCTTTGTGGGAAGAGAGAGTGGTGTAAGGCTGATATCCACAGTGCTCTGACAACAGAGCCAAGCGCAGGCTTATGATTGGCTGTCTCCTGCAGACGCTGCGCTGTGGTTGGCTGCTGCTGCTGCTAAGTGTTATTCTGTCTGGCAGCTGCAGGGGGTGCTCTGCTCCCAGTTACCACTCTTGCCCTGCTGGACACAGTGTGAGACTGCCTTCTGCACAGGAGGAAGAGGAAAAAAAGCCAAAAAAAGCACAATGTTACATTTGGGTTTTCTCCACTAACTGAGGACTGACAGTACTTACACCAAAAGTCAGAGACCACCCTTCATTTATCTAAGTTGCAGTCAACACAGACATTAAATGGATTTCTGAAGAGATCAAATATAAGGTATTTCACTTGCATAAGGAAGAGGAAAGACAAAGGAAAAAGACCTGGTAGACCACCAAAACTGTCACCTCACTTCAGATCAAAATCCACAGGTGTTTCTGTCCATCCCTCCACTGTGAGAAGACAACTCAGCGCTATGAGTCTGAAAAGATGTCTGGCTATCAAGAAGCTGTTACTGAGAGAAGAAAATAGACAAAAAAAGAGCCTAAACTCTTGTCTTGAAGAGTCTAAATTTGTCATTGTGTTTGTCGGATTGTAAGAATCAGAAAATGCAACCAACTTCTAAGACCGAACTTGGGAGGTGTGTAAAAATATCCCTGCAGATTTCTTTGAAAAACTGAAAGCAAGACTGGAAGCTAATAAAGACAAAGAATGGACACTCTAAATACTGAACATTTTGAAATTAGTGGTTGAGGCTTCTGCGTACGTTTTAACAGGAAATTAAATAAGTGTAGGGTGGTCTTCGACATTTGCACAGTACACCATTTGACTGCTAAAAAAGAAATCTTTCAACATCAGCATATTAACAGGTAATATAACAGGTAACTACATTTAATTTTTTTACTGGCATTTAATTTGCAGTAATTGTACACAGATGACATTACTGTAATGAAATTAGCAAAATCTAATTCATGTCAAAACATACTCCACATCAGGGTGTAACTTTTCTCAAATACTATCACAATTTCATTCAACTGGATGAACTTTTTTTGGTTCGACTCAGTGGTTTTTGAAGATACACAGAATACACAAATGTACTCGGAGGAAATATTTACCTAGTTGAATAATGGCTGTGTCTAAAACTGAGGGCTGAGCTAAAATACCTACAGCTAAAAATCCATATTAAGCAGGCCATTAAGAGGTGAGTATCCTAAACTCATGCGGAAGTATTGATACAGTGGAATAATGACTCAAGCGGTAAATAAAAATACCTTTCCAAAAAACAGCCTGAGTAGAAATATAAAAGTAGCAGGTAAAAACTACTTCAGTACTGAGCAATTGTAGAACTGCAGTGGAACTACTTGGTACATTAAGTATCTCTTAGCAAAGGAACTTAAGTCTGGTTTGAGGTTTGCTATTCTTGATTGAGGCTTGGTCAAAAATAAAATGCTAAAGGTCCAGAGTGAGAAGTCTAACCAACTGCAAAGCAGTACAGAATTACAGAATTATATTTAACACAACAATAATTTAGTAATTAACTGTCAATAACTAAAATATAACAGAGTAAAAAGCAGATTATTTTCCTCACAAACACATTTGAGTAGAAGTAAAAGTATTATTATCTGAAAATACTCATCAAAATTTGACTTGAGTACATGTAAATGAGTAAATGGAAGCAGTATGATTAATATTACATTAGATCATATAGTTCATTATATAGTTCATTAATATTACACTTTATGCATTTTTATTACACAGCAGTGTGGTGATTTCACTACTGTAGTGATAATTATTTGAATACAAGTAATAACATACAGTAATAGGTTATTTGGTACTGAAAACCTACTCAAGAGATATCTCTGCAGGCAGCATTTTATGCAAACATCCCATTTGGACATGAATAATGCCACAGTAGGCAGCATGTTTCGGACAAAGACATGGGCTATAAACACAATAAACACATATTTCTGAATTTATAGAAAGAAAATGAGCAGATGATTAATGAATATAATTATAAAATCAATTAATATTGACACAGGCTATAATTTCGCTTATGAACATTTCTGTGACGCTTCTTTTTTTCCTTCTCACTTAGCACACTGTGCAGTAAACGGTGACTGAAATGTGCCAAGTACATGCAAAAATGTATTCACTGACCTGAATAGCCCCTCACCACTGGGGGTCACTAAAGCAGCGTGCACCTGCATTTCCTTATCTAAACACCATCTGCCTTGTGGAGCTATAACCCATCAGAGATTTCCGAGTAAATCATACCTCTGAATCAATAATCCTGAATAAATTCCCTCTCTCTCACACACACACAAAGATATGTATCTGCTCCTAACTCACACACACCTGCGGCTGTTTGCGTGCAGGCCGTTTGGGTTGGTTGTCTGGGTGATTGGGGGCCCAAGGCCCCAGGCTCTGATTGGAGTAGAAATCCATGGGATATACCTCCTGCCATCCTATCTGCTGCAGGGCTACTGCTGCCTGAGAGAACGAGAGAAAGAGAGAGTGAGACAGAGAAAAAGAGACCTCTTTTATCAATTATAAAACCCAGCTTTTTTTAACGCCTGTACATTTTCTTTTGCTTCTGTGATAACTACCAATAGCCAATAGCAAATGTCCTATACTAAAGAAATCCTGCTATGTCTTCATTCAACATACACTTTACTTCAACTGATGCACACACAAATGCACTTCTACTAGGGATGCAACTATCCCACTTTACCTCCCTCCCAGGACTGATTCTCACACCTGAACTCAACGTATCAGCTGATACTGGGTATCCAATACCAGTGCAGTTCTTTTTTCTTTGATTTAAAATCTGTGTACCTCACTGGGTAGAACTGTTTGGGTTCAGTTACATGTAACTAGACATCACATCATGTAAACAGACCCTCAAACTCCTACACACACACACACACACACACACGTATGTATGTTGGCATGTATACTAAATAATACTGATCTACAGTTAGGTACATAAACACAAAGCTGTTGTTATTTTAGCTTGTCTACCACAGCATATCGGAGTTGACAGAGAACTAAAAATGACAGTTTCATTTATGATTATTCTAGTTTTACGCTAGTTTATTTTTGAGCCCCTAAAAATGAAATATGACAAAGAAAGCTACTGGATAATGTGGCATTAAAAGTTTGTAGCATGTATGATTGTAAAACAGCACTGAATTAGATGTCTGGCCAATACCAAATCTAATAAGTTCAGTGCCATTTCTTTATGCAAATGAGCTGAGCGGCGACCAATTAGACTGTTTATGTGGCTTATGTGGCACTCTGACTTATTACTCAAATTACTCAATACTCTAATGAACATCAAGCAAGAGATACGACGGTGGAAAAACAGCTAATGTACTCAAAACACTGGATATTATTACATTAGTTGAATTTTATTATTACGTTTATGAAAAGCAATATCAGGCTAACTACAACTTTTACTCTGGACGCCTAGATTTGCTTGTAATTTAGAGACAAACGGTCAGCAGGGGAAGGGATTTGGCTCACTGTAAACAAGTTGCAGCAATAAGTTATATAACATCATAAATATAATATGAATAAATAAATACATATATAAGGGTGATAAGGGACAGTTTCAGTCACAGTATGTGTCCATTCACTTAGAAACTCTGAACTAGACTTCATTCAGACAAGACAACACAGAGAGAATTAGTGCCTGCACAATATAACATATGGTAGCACTACAAATCTATTGAATCAATGAGGTCAAACATGTCAAGTATGAAACCAATTAATCTAAGGGCTAACATCACTTAATAAACATGCCAACATGTAATTTTCAGATATCAGATTTGCATATTAATTGCATAATGCACATAAATGTAGAGCAAAGCTTTACATGTGCCCCTTCTAATAATAACCCTTACAACCTCACTAGAAATTGGTGAAGCAGTTAAAGCGTCTGAAAACTAAAGCTGCTAAGAGAAAGCACAGTAAACATAGCTATTTGCTTTATTCACACTATATCTGTTATTTGAAAGCCTGCGGAGGCTGAGTACTCAAAAATTAGTTGCTGCAACTCATGACTGGGCCTTTATAATAAACCTAAGCACATTCATAGCTTCTCACAGGAGAATGAGACCAGCATTGTCCAATACACTCTCCTTTCCACAGTAAAACCAGAGTAAGTACTCCCCAAGCCTGAGTTTTAGCACTGGGTTATCAATGCACTGCGTTTTCACTCGGTTTGTGCTCGTGTCGACCTGACTCACGAATGAAATATGCTTTAATGTGCTGCTCTAATACCGCAGGACAGATGGCATATGCTGTTTATGAAGTATTGTCTTTAGGACTGTGGCAATATTAGCTCATAAACAAACCCCACTCTATAAATCTGCTCATATGCAGCGAGCGTTCATCCATCCTTAACCTGATCTTCATTCCTCCTCCTTCACTACAGTGAAGGATAGCATAATACGCTCTAATGGAAGTTTTAAATCCTTACGCAGGGAGTCTGTTAGCGGGGACTTTGTCCCACGGCTACAAATAATAATTCAGGATTTGAAGGATTCTTTTCATCACCTCTACAGTAAAACACACACATGCCCTGCCACTGCCACCAGCCCCAATCCCTCCCTCTCTTCCCTCCCCATACAAGCTCTTAATAAACCCAGCCTTGCCACGTTTCCCCTTTCTCTGGCTTTTCATCATTCCCTCGCTCCCTCTCTCCGTCTCGCCCCTCCATCCTCGGCTTCCAGGCTGCGAGCTAGCTGCTCCTGCTAATCCCTATGCTGACAGGGGAGGCAAGTGTGTCTTATTGACTATAAATATAACATGAGACGCACTGAAAATAACCGCTGCCTCCCTTCTGTCTCTGTCTCTTTCCCTCTCTCGTATGCTTCCCAGTGCCATAGAGGAAACAGACGCATGCAAAGTGGGGGAGGGGGTGGTGGAGATAAATAAATAAAAACAAACCAGTGCTATGCAGGGCTGAAGTACAACAGTAAGGGTCTTGCATGAACTAAAGGTGGGCAACATGATGATTATTATGACCACTGACATTATCATATGCTTTTCTAAGTATATCATGGGTATTTTATACAGATGGCGTAATCCCACTTTGTTCTGATACTGAAACTGTGAGTATTGGATAATATCCAATCGACTTTTCTTCTTTAAAATTTACTAAGCTTTACTCTTTAGTTATTTTCAGTTGAAGTACTTCACTTCAGATGAGCATCACGCCTACTCAAACACTCTGCTACCCCACAGGAAGAAATACTGAGCTAACAAATAAGGATGATTCAGAATTTCTGAATATTCGAACAGTCATGAAAGTTTAAAGAATCAAATCGTACATTAGGACTTTTTATATAGCTTCTCTCCAACATTCTTATATTGAAGAACCAAGAGACGTCTGAAGTTTGTACTCTACCTGGGGCAGTGTAGAGCCTGCGTCTTTCATTTTGGTGAGAGTTTGGTGACAGTTACTTATTCTTATCTATTTTGCCCAAAAAAGGAGGCACAGAAAAACTACTGCAGCTGGCTAAAAGCTCCATGCTGCTCCACCAGAACTCTCTGGCACCGCACAGCAGATTAGTGCAGCTGTGGCACATATGGAAACACAGATAAACAAGAAGCTCAAGATTCATTACAGATTTAATGGAATAAAACTTTCAACAGCATTTAGTGCATTTATTAGGTTTGGTATCAGCAAACTAACTCTTCATACACTGCTTTTGAGCTGAAAGATATGTGAAATATATGAAATATTTTGTGGCCAGGCTAATACGGTAAGCTGAGGTGAAACAAGACGACTATAATTTGTCATGTTATCTTAAAGACTTTACATTAGTTGCTTTTCTCAGTTTAAATTTCAAACCACGTTCACTTACTAGATGCTCTGTGCTGCATTTTGTCTGCCTGATACTTCCCATAGGTAGAAGCCTAAGACTCCCAGAGTCCTATACTTTGTTTCATTTTTTTTGGGGGGGGGGCGGGGCGGGCTGTGGGGGTATTGATTCAATTATTTCTCAAATAATGCCTTACCTATTTGACTTTCACTTAAATGCCCATCCCTACTAACAACATAACATTACACAATGTGATTGGGTGGAATTTCATAGTGGATTTGTTACAGGACTCTTTTTCCCTCCGATACCTGGTCTAGCATTTTCTGCTGATTTCAGCCTGATATTGATATCTGGTATTGGATCATTGCCAAGACTAGTAATCTCCCTGGACTCCCTGGTTGTTGCAAGCATGATTTCTTCTCTAATATTTGGTTAAGCACCCAATTGCCTTAATGACAGTGCCAATCCGATCAGGTAGGGATTACAGCAGTCTCCTGAGATCCTGCCCATTTTAGCCCACTCTTCCACTAACTTTGTGCTTCACGTCTGAGCAGAACACAACATTGACTCTCCCACATTCCAGTGAGTTTATTTTCAGTACACTGTGAAAATTCCTTCAATTATCGTGATGTTATATTTCTGGACATTTTATCCATCCTTCGCATTAACTATGAATTTGTGCACTGTTTTAAAAACAGGCTGGTCTCCTATGGAGATACAGGTTCTTTCCTACATGGAGTTGTGATACTGATTTGCTGTTGAATTTCCATACAGTTCCTCTGTCCCATAATCCTGTGTCATATCACCACTCCAGAGCACTTCATATGTGAGCTTGAGTCGCAGGGGTGATGCGAATGTATTACAGTAACAGAAGGATAAATGAAAGCATATAAAATCAGGCGGAGCTCCATTCCAGTGTCACTGAGCTACTCAAGTGCTTCCTTCATAAAGACACATGACCACATGAAAGCTCAAATGCACTAGTGGTTGCACGCTGAGATTATAGATGCCAGCGGTAGCTGCCAGCTGAAAGCCGTGGAGTGACGAGCGCTTTAACGAGACTCGTCTCGTAAAGCACTCCCCTGGCCGCTCGGCTTTCGTACGGGACTGGCAGGGGGATTTGCGCTGATACCTATCCCAGGGAAATGTTCTTATGAGCCTCATGCCAGCCAGGCCCAGCTTTGGCATGAAATGAATCAGGATGTACTAGTGTACTCATCCCTGCTGATTAGAATGGGAGGGGGAGCAAGAGAGTATGTGTAAGTGTGTATGTGAGAAAGAGAGAGAAAGAGAGCATGCATTTAACTGGCCAGTGAGAGGAGCTACTGTTCCATAGTGAAGTGCAAGACTACTCTCTTTTCTGTATCTGAGAAACACTCCTCCTGCTCCTCTCCAAATAAACAAAGAATATGCAGGCTAAATCAACGTGTGCAAGTGTATCAACATAAACTGACACAAGAACTGCACTGATTAGCTGGCAAAGTTCATCACTCACCTACAACACTGATTATGGAAAACTGAAGTGCTCAATAATTCTATATGATAGGAGGCTCAAATTCAAATTCCCGGGGTGCCTCTAGCCAGGCAGTCTTCTTGGGGGTTTATTTGATTTGACTGAAAACTAAAATACTTTTTAGTTATAACTATTATAACTATATACTTATACCACTACTACTAATACTACCACTACTACTTTAATCATAATAATTATAATAATAATAATAATAATTAGTAGTAGTCGTAGTAGTAGTAGTCGTAGTAGTAGTGGTGGTACTACTACTACCACTACTACTACTAATAATAATAATTATTATTATTATTATAGTAGTAGCTGTAGTAGTAGTGTTAGATAAATACATATTGTTAATAAATATTTTGCCTTCAATCAAATCAAGTAAACATTTAGACTTATATTGAACAGCAGTGCCAAACTAAATGGACAAAAGTATTGGGACATCTGCACATTACACCTACAGGAGCTTTTATGACATCCCATTCTAAATCCATAGGCAGTAATATGGAGTTGGTCCCCCCCTTTGTAGCTATAACTGCTTCCACTCTTCTGGGAAGCTTTCTACAAGATTTTGAAGTGTGTCTGTTGGAATTTTTGCTCATTCATCTAGAAGAGCTTTCGTGAGGTCAGACACCGATGTTGGATGAGAGGGCCTGGCTTGTAATCTCTGTTCTAGTTCATCCCAAAGGTGTTTGATGGGGTTGAGGTCAGGGCTCTATGTGGGCCAGTCAAGTTCTTCCACACCAAACTCAACCAACTATGTCTTTATGGACCTTGCTTTGTGCACTGGGGCTCAGTCATGCTGGAACAGAAAAATGCCCAAACTGTTCCCACAAAGTTGGAAGCATATAATTGTCCAAAATGTCTTGGTATGCCGAAGCATTAAGATTTCCCTTCCCTGGAACTAAGGGGTCTAGGCCGACCTGTGAAAAAAAACCCCATAGCATTATCCCTCCTCTACCCAATGCAGACAGGTAGGTAATGTTCTCCTGGCATTCGACAAACCCAGATTCGTTCATCAGACTGCCAGATAGAAAAGCGTGATTCATCACTCCACAGAATACATGTCTACTGCTCCAGAGTCCAGTGGCGGCGTGCTTTACACCACTCCATCCAATGCTTGGCTTTGTGCTTGGTGATGTAAGGCTTGCATGTAGCTACTCTGCATGGAAACTTATGCCATGAAGCTCCTGGTGCACAGTTTCTGTGCTGATGTTAATGCCAGAGGTGGCTTGGAACTCTGCAGTTACTCTGCAGAGGCAGGAGAGCGTTGGTGACTTTTATGCACTATGCGCCACAACACTCGGCAACCTGTTCTGTAATTTTACGTGGTCTGGCACTTCATGGTCGAGTTGCTGTTGTTTCTGAACACTTTCATTTTTCAGTTGATCGTGGAATATCGAGAAGGGAAGAAATTTTGCGAATTGACTTGTTGCAATGGTGGCATTCTATTACAGTACTATGCTCAAATTCAGTGAGCTCTTTTGAATGACCCATTCTTTCACAAATGTTTGTAAAGGCAGACTACATGGGTAGGTGCTCGATTTTATACACCTGTGGCAATGTGACTGAATCAAACACTTGAATTCAATGAGGTGTGTCCCAATACTTTTGTCCATAGTGTATGTCAGACTCTTCTAGTGATAGCACTGGTGTTCCTGCTGGATGTGAGTGAAGTGTTGGCAAAAGTAGAGCAGTTAAACCTGCATTCTCAGTGGATTCATTTGATAATTCCATTCATTTCTTAATTCTGACTCTGTGTACCTACCACTATGTCATGAATAAATCCTCAAAGGCATATTTAACTATTTTAGGATAATAGCCAAGTTGTGTATTTGTATATGGCTCTCTATTTTTGCTTTTAATAACATAACCTTAGTCTAAGTTGAAGAACATTCAATAATTTAAGGAAAACTGTAGATATGCGATGGGCCAAATGATGCTATCACACTTGTCACAGGCCGGTAGTTTGAGGCCGCTGCCCAATAATGTTCAAACAGTCATTCGGACAGAACGCACTGCAAGAAGCAAACATGATAAGGCCTCTATTGAAGTAGGCGGTGTATAAAAGAAAAAAACTGACTCGCATTTTGACCTTTGATTGATGGTGGCATAATGAAGATGACATAATGATTTAATTAATCAAACAAATGATTCAACTACCGATTCATTTCTTATGTCACTTGCATATTTTTTCTTTTGTGAAATCATAAAGACAAGCACAGACTGCCATCCCACACTAAACTGGCAGGTAAATAAGGTCAAGCCTTATTCATGGGTCTGACAAACCACTGACAGCCTAGACAATGACACTTTGGCACACAGGGCACTTTTACCTCTAAATAAAGTGCACCATATTTGTTTTGCTGCTAGAGACGCAAACATATAGGACGGCAATCCAGCTAGCTTTGGGAAGAGGATCTCTGACTTGCTTTGAAGCATAATAAGCCTTGAGAAGGTCGTGCAGAGTGACGTTCAGGTGGCAGGTGGATGCAAGAGGAGCGTGTGTCTCTTGCTCTCTTTGCTTTGATAGTGAAGGATGGTGAAGGCAAGGATTTGCTTTGTGAGCATGTAAGATGCGTGTACCTCGTAAGGAGACAGCAGGGGTTTGGAGAACGCCGTGCCCCAATCAATTGACAGACGAGGACATGCGATCTGTACCCACCTACAGAGAGAGAGAGAGAGAGAGAGAGAGAGAGAGAGAGAGAGAGAGAGAGAGAGAGAGAGAGATTGAGGGGAGAGAGAGAGAGAGAGAGAGAGAGAGAGAGAGAGAGAGAGAGAGAGAGAGAGAGAGAGAGAGATTTAAAGGGGCTATGTTCTTTGCCAATAACAGTTTCACATGACTATTAACCAATCTTGTTTTATCCTTTAGAAATAAACAGTCTGTTTTTGTACCTTAAAGACTGATGTATGTAAATAACCTGTTCTGATTGGCTGGTTGATGCACACGTCTTGTGACAGTAAATATGCCTATATGTTCTACTCAAATAATTCTTATGACTAGCTACAGTCTGTCTATGTAACGACACTCCATATCACTTCAATGTGAGTTGTCATATGTAAATGACATCACAAGCATGATGAACTCAAAATGTGTTGTTTCTTAGCTTACTTTTCATTTACGGACTGGGGAGTGAAAAATATTTGGCTGTCTAAGAGACACGGCACGTCTCTGCGAGTGTGTCCAATAGTACTGCACTGATTTCTCACTCCGACTCCTCTGCTGTAAATATGAGAGTACATTTGCACAGCTCTAAAGAGCAGAGCTGTTTGCTCTGAGCTGCAGCGTCATTATTTAGGCAGCAAAGGGAGGGCTAGAGGAGTACGAGAGATGGGGGGGGTGAGATGGGGAGGGGGGACATGAGAGAGACAGAAAGAGGGGGGGGGGAAAGAGTGTGAAACAATCATGGGAAAAACAGTAAACAAATTTAGAGACATCAGGGAGGCATCCTTAATCTGTAGCTTTGGCTGGAGGTTGTACAGAGGTCATATGGTTATCATAGATGCAAAGCACTAAGCCATTTTAGCCTAGCCAGACAAACTAGAAGGATTGTAAAACTGACGAACGTTAGAACATTAATGAAAGAAAAGGCTCTGAAAGCAAAAAAAAAACAAAACAAAAAAAAAAAACATATTACATCATTACTCTTTAAACATTACACAATGTTATCTGGAGGCTCTCAAAAGTTCAAGTCTGTGAATTGTGGCAAAGTTTATCTTGACATCTTCTCTTCCTCTTTCACCCACTCGCTTGCTTTTTTTTAAGCCATGTATCGTGATGACTAGAACTGCAGAAGTGATGAGGGCTTCACCTAATATGCTCCCCACTCTTGCTTCCTCTTTTTTTCCCCCTCAACCAGCCAAAATCCACTGAAATCCACCCACCCCAACAGTGGGCGTGTACCGAGTGCCCAAAAGCAAAAACATTCTCATTCTCCACCATTCTCTATCACTCCATTTTCTACATTTTTCTTGTATTTTGTTTTTTATTTTTTCCTGAGACCCATGAATGTTTGTGTGATTTTACATACCAAAAACATTCAGAATTATTTTTTACATCAAGCTTTTCCAACCTCTCTTTATGCCTGGAATTGAGCAAGCTGTTTTTGTGACTGTGTCTAAAACTGATATATGCAAATGAATGCTGCTCTGTATCATGCATCCTTCAAAAAGCAACCTGAGCTGAACCACTCCTTATAACATCACTGTGAACAGACAGAGCTAAACTGCTGCAGGCTGAATAGGTGGATATATGTAAATGTGTTGGATTGTGTGACATCACAAAAACAATGAATTCAAAACAGGCTGTTTTTGAAGCTTTGAGTGAACAATAGATTTTGACACTTCAAAATAGCACTGTGCACATTTTTTTGTTAAAATTGAAAGAAGAAGCATTACTGAGTCAGGAAAAAAACACGCCGAAATATGGTATGCAAGCTGCAGTGAGTCAAAATAATAAATTAAAAATCCAGAGGTGTCAGGTTGGATTTGGCAGGAGTTTTTCAGACCACATTATGTATCTCCACGTATTAACGTCACACATGCGGACTCAAAAAGAAGGTATCCCTCAAAGTTTAGGTCACAAACGCAAAATTAGCAGTACACTAATGATTGTGACCATAGTAGATAATTCACTTACATCCTCAGAAGACACACCCTTCAACACGTTTGGCTGAATTCTCTTTGAATACTCTTTCAACACGCTCGCAATCATCAGAATCATCCAAGCGATGTTGCAAAATGTTCTTTCACAGGTTGTGTGCAATAACACACTTATACAAGAGAGATCTCCAAATCCTCAAATCTTACATTGTGCAGTTTCAGTAGATACATGCAAATATATATGTAAATGATCTCTGATCGGCTCTGTTGCCCTCTGTTCTGACTGGATGCTCAGTATCGCACTTAATGCAAAGAGCAGAGCCGAATTATAAAAGGCTTGTAACTAACATATATAGGTAGACTAATGTGCTGTAGGCTGAAGCAGTGGATATATGTAAATGAGTTGTTTTTTTGCAACATCACAACAACAATGAATTCAACACAGGCTGTTTTTGCAGCTTAATTTCGACATATGTACTGTATAAACTGGGAGTGAGTTCTTAAAATTTAAGCAATATTTATATACTACATCAAACACAAGGCAAGTTACGTTTTCCATGAAACAATCCCTTTAAAGCCAAACTAGAGAACAACCCAGCATCATTATTCGCTTTAGACTGATTGCGCAGACTGAAATGGGGCTCCGAGCCTTTCTCAGTGTTTGCTTAGTCCTATTTACAGTTAGAGTGTCTCTAGTGCAGCCACAGAGAGCTGGAAGGGAGGATTCTGAAAGAGTGGGTGTAGTCTCCAGGTAAAGGAATGGCTCGGTGGCCCATGAGCCCGCGAGCAGATGAGGAGGAGTTGGGGGGGTGTGGGTAGGAGAGGAGGAAGGGAAGGAGGGCGTGGGGGGGGTGGTGTTCCTCTGGAGAGTCACGTAGATTGAAACAGGCGACTCAGAGGAGGAGGGAGAGCGAGCAGTGTAAGTGCTAATATTAACTCAGTTTGTGCGGTGGCAGGGCCCTGCAAACATGCACACGGGGCTCTACCAGCTGATCCAATCTGCAGGCCTATCAGATGCAGCATCTGTCCCCGTGCCCCCTGGCTCACGGCGAGGAGGCATGGAGGAGGACACATATTCCTCCAGGCTGCTTCACACCCATCTGCTTCCCTCTCAACACCAGGGACTTTAAGCTTCAATGAATGTAGGGACAGCTACGGTCACCAGAAATAAATCTGCGTAAATGCCATGGCTGCAGAAATCAAAGCACTGGTTGAGCTTAATTAGTTTTATAAGGTTCTGTAATGCACTTTGTAAGGGAGTGGTTGATTTGTGTGGGCAAGTGTCTGTAATTTCCCCATATTACTACTGATAGCCTGGACAGAAATGCTAAAGCCAAGATGTGTGCACCAGCATTGCACAAACAAGGGCTAAACCTAATAATAATAACAACCAGGCAGCTCACAGCAAGCAAAGCAGCAGGACAGAAACAGAAAAGACGACACTGGACTTCACCAAAATGTTGTAACTGTATTTCGGCCTAAGCCTAAAATTAGTTATTTGCTGTTATGCAGTATTCTGCAGCATAGCACAATATCCCTCATGCTCATTGGGTTTGACAGAATTCACAATTTTACAGTGCTTGTCATGTTTTCATCCATCAATATTCTCTCACTACAGTACCCAGCATGCATTATGCAAATACATCACACATACATTAGGAATCCCTGTAGTTTCAGTTAATCCTGACTGCTAGCCTTGGTACTGATCCATAGACTAAAAAATACAACCACATTAGCATTAGTCTTACCTTGGTCGTTGAACAAAATCATGAAGAAAACCACGATTCCATCTATGTTCAGTACAAAATGGACATCAGCGATATAATTTTTTTCCAATTTCAGTCAGAGAAAAGAAGCCAAACTGACGATAGGCCCCTACCTTGCTAATTTTAGCTTTTATCTTATTGTCCTCAGGGTTGCCAACTTTGGTGAGATGACAGGAATTACACTATCAGGTGGTTGGAGTGAGAATGGAGTGAGATTTTCAATTTTGCGTGCACAAACCTTCTTAAACCTGTTCTCAGGGACTCCCAGACAGTCCATGTTTGCTCTAATGCAGCTCCAAACACCTAAATAAAAATGCACCACTGCTTCACGCCACAACGCTCTTTCTGGTCTCGCCAGTGACATATAAAAGGCAGATCTGTGAAAGAAGCAGCCAATGTCCTCTCAACAGGCTATAATATGAACCAATCACAGGTCATCATGCAGAAAGAACATAAAATAGTGGCAATGCAAGTTTGTTCTGAGCATGTTGCCTGGTTGGCTTGAGATTTCTTAGAGTAGTGTAAGTCGTTGAGAAAATCATGAGAGCTGGTAACCCTCCTTGTCCTTCTCATCTGATGAGTCATTTCTGTCATTTGAGTAACCCATTCTCACTATTGTAACGATGATCTGAAGACAATTAACACAGCTATAAGGCTGTAATAAGATGTTAGGCTTCCTAGCAGTAATGTTAGCTGTCTTCCTACCATCCACTTTCACCAGCTAAAGAAAACATTTCCAAACAGCCAGCCCTCAAACATCCTCAAAAAGCAGTTGTAGTTCATCCTACATCAAAATACATCAGAAGGTGGTTTTCCTGGAAAATCCCACTCTTGAGACTACTGTGGTATGTTTAGGACAGATGTAGTGGTCATTTTGGCCAGAGTGTCGCTTAAATTATCTTAAAAATACTTTCTTTTTAGCAGATTTACACTGGATTAAAATCATGGATCTTGTATTTGGTAATCACTTACATTATTGTACCTCCTCAAGTAAAACTAATCCAGTTTGAATAGGGTTGCGCAACAGCTGCGTTTTTAACAATATATGCTGATTAAAAAGGGTCAAAATAAGAATTGCTTTATGCATTAGAAGAGAAACTAATTCCAGAAGAAGAGTTTTTGAAAAATACAATATAAAATAATTGAACGTAGACTTTATATTGTACCATCTACGTCAGACTGATATTTTTCCGTAGTACACCAACAGGCAAAAGCAGCAGGTACCAGCGAGATAAATGGGCTCATACACTAAGTAGCGGCTTTTTTGTCAGTCGCCGTAACTATCTGTGCAGCTGTG